TTGGAGGTGTGGGAACAATGCTACATCTCTGGTGGTCCTGCCCATTATTCCAAAGTTTCTGGAAAATGGTCAATGCAGAAATGACTAACGTTACCCAAATAGAGCAAAGACACATGCCTGACCACTGTATACTGTTCATGCTACCAACAGGCATGCACAGACCGCATGTTAAACTCACTTTCCAAATCTTGATGGCAGCGCATACATTGTTAGCATTGGCCTAGAAGACAAGTAAAGTCCCAAGTAAACAAGCTCTATGGGAACAAGTAACTCTCAACTGGGACTATGAACAAATGGCACACTTCTACATAACACCCAACGCCACTACCATTGAGGCTAAAGAAAATCTGGGACAACTATGTGCTAAAAGCAACCAGTATATTGACCTAGTAGAGCCTCCCCAGAAAGGGAAGCACAGAACTGAAACCGTAGACAGGACATATGAACACTCAGACCCATCATACTTTTCCACTAGGAGGCCCAAGCTCCACGGAGAAAGATCTCCTATGTACGGGTACCCACAGGATGAGAATCCCCTAACCACTGACCAACAGAAGTGCTAGCCCACCCTGACTACACACCTTCCTCTCAACCACTCCCTGTGATACCCACATCTTGCAACCAGGAATACAGCTGAGAGAAGGCATAAGCACATCAAATGAGGAGGGGAGGAGCAAACGGGGCAAGGCAAAACAGCATGGGCTGAATTATTGGCAGCCCACATGAACCACACCTATTATACACATCTCTATAACAGGGTCTGTAAAGCAGCACACACAACCCAAGGGGGGAATAAAGTCCTCATAGCAGGTTTCGAACACAACGGGTGACGTGAGCAACACATGTACCAGGTGCAAAATAAGCACACAGGTGTAGTTGCCATCCTGGGTACGCCCCGGATGGGACAAGAACAGAGGTGAACCCAAAGTAGCGAGTAGCCAGACAGGAATGGTATTGTTGAAGAGCGATTGTGATGACTCTGCCTACTATTCTATTCTATTGCTATATTGCTGTAAAGTAATATTATCACATGCCACAAAATGCAAGACTGGAGTGTTGACAAAGCTACTGATCTATCCGTCCCCTATCTACCTCCCCTCTTCTTTTCTGTACCCTACTCCCAAAACAAATAAAAATTGTCAAATAAAAAAAAAAATACACTTAGAATGAAATTACATATATCTATATCTATGTATATATAAATAAAAATACAAAATATATGTATATCCATATACATAATTACATAAATAATTTCATAAATATACACATAGATTTCAAATATATAAATATGTAACTTCGGATTTATGTAACTTTGTTGGATTTTAAATACCAGTGATTTCTTCTAAAGACCGCAGAGTTCATCTCTTTTTCATTTATTGTCTATACTCAGCGTGGGATTGCACCAGGGTATTTTTTTTATATATATACTACATGAAAGGGTGAGTGCCACTATACTTATATACGTATATATATATATATATATATATATATATATATATATTTAAATTCTACGTGCATATTTATGTCATATTTTTACATAAATGAAGTAATTTTATTGATTGAAATTTGAGGGACCTGCCTGACAACCAAGGCCAAAAGTCCAGAGAATTTTATTTGCTAGCACTATATTTAACCCTGTAACTTTCCAACACACCCTAAAACCTGTACATGGGGAGTACTGTTTTACTCAGGAGACTTCACTGAACAGAAATATTAGTGTTTCAAAACCGTAAAACATATCACAACCATGATATTGTCAGTAAAAGTGATGTTTTTTGCATTTTTCACACACAAACGGTACTTTCACTGATGATATAATTGTTGTGATACGTTTTACTGGTTTGAAACACTATTTGTGTTCAGCAAAGTCTCCCGAGTATAACAGTATCCCCCATGTACTGGTTTTATAGTATTTTTAAAAGTTACAAGGTCAAATATAAGGCTTGCCATTTAATTTATTTTCATTGAAATTTGACAAATTGGTTATGTTGCCTTCGAGAGCGTAAGGTAGCCCAGGAATGAGAATTGCCCACATGATCGCATACCATTCACAAAAGTAGGCAACCCAAGGTATTGCAAATGGGGTATGTCTTTTCTAGTAGCCATTTAGTCACTGTCAGGATCGTGACAGGGATCCAACACGCAGAATGCAGACAGGACAAGGTACGTATACCGGACCTTAGAATGGCCGGACTAACGTGTAGAGGAGACAAAGAATGGTCAAAGGACAAGCCGAGGTCGAGGGAACTGGAGGACAGGAAAGCGAGAGACAAGCCGGGTCAAAGGGTAGGAGAAGGAAGCAAGAACGATGATAGAAAGCCAAGTCAAAACCAAATAATCACAAGGAACCAAGAGCACTGAGTGACCAGCCAAGCTAGAACCACGACAGGGCAATGAGTTATTGCAAATGATTCCTTTTTATACCTTGGCTCCTTAATTGATGACCATGCCCCCAAAAGGTCCTGATTAGTGGTTTCTGGCGATCCGTGACGTCAATGACGTCATGACGTCGGCTATTGGGCGTCGCGTCATAAAAGGGGGCGAGGCTATTGCGGCCGGCGTGTAAACGGCCGAAAATGCTGAAATGACCGGGAGTACAAGACCCCATGTGGGGGACCATGTCCTGATGCCTGACCTCCTCTAAGGTGGATATTACAGGTACCATGACAGTCACAAACACAGCGGCGGTCGTGATCCTGGGGTCTGCCTGGGAGCTCAGACAGACCCCCTATGACCGATCCAGTCTCCCTGGCGATGTGATCGCAGGGTCCTCATGATCACATGCCCGGAATAGCCGGCTTATGCAGTCCCTGCAGGGGGCCTGCCTGAGCTATCAGGCAGTCCCCCTCATGCCTGTAAAAAAGTTTCTCAAAGTTAGTAAAAGTTATTAAACAGTTTTTAAATTAAAAGTACTTAGATCATATATATACATATATATATATATATATGTGTATATATATATGTATATATATGATCTAAGTACTTTTATATACACATACATAAATCATTAATAAAAGTGTATTTTAATTATATATTAATATTAAAATACACTTAGAATGATGTTAATTATATATATATATAAATAAAAAGTAATGAAAAAAAAATAAAAAAAAGGAAAAATAAAAAAACAATAATAAAAATAAATTAAAAAAATTATATACCAATTTTAATTTGTTCTAACTTTATTTTGATATGAATATACAAACTGCGATGTGAAAACACTGAAATGCAAGCCTTATATTTAACTGTGTAACTTTCAAAAACACCATAAAACCTGTACATGGGGGGTACTGTTATACTCAGGAGTAGTGATGTCGCGAACCGCTCGCGAACTTTTCGCAAATGGTTCGCCGCGGTTCGCCGCGACTCCGGTCAGCTGACACATCCCGGCCAATCTCCAGCAGACCCTCCCTCCCAGACCCTCCCACCTCCTGGACAGCATCCATGTTGAAGGCAGCTTCAATATGGATGCTGTTCAGGAGGTGGGAGGGTCTCGGAGGGAGGGTCTGCTGGAGATTGGCCGGGATGTGTCAGCTGACCGGAGTTCCCAGCGAACGGTTTGTGGCGAACCGCGGTGAACCGTTCGCGAAAAATTCGCGAACGGTTCGCGACATCACTACTCAGGAGACTTCGCTGAACACAAATTATATCATTCTTTCATGCAGGCTGTTTGAGTCACAGCCGTGGAAAGTGTGGCTGAGACTGCATAAACAGAAACAAAAGTGATTTAACTCGTAAACAGCAGAAAATTGAGCAGTGAGATTGCAGGGATTCATTAAGCTAAAGCTGTTTTGATGCCTATTGTATCCTTTTAATTGAGTGCTTCATTATATTATTTAACTTCCTCATATTGCCTCAACACAAGTATATAGAGAAATACCCTTATGAATAGGGACTACGTGATTATCTACTTTTTTATTAAAATACTTTCTTTTTAAATAAATGGTTACAGACACACTTGTGATTTAACTGATTTTGACATATTAGCATGTCTTGTATTTATCTTTCAGTATATTTAGTTCTAATCTCATCAATGCTCTGTTTTAACAGGTATAACAACTTCAAATAATTTCCTTATACACAGTAAAGCACAATACCATTAGTATTCAACAATTTGAGAATTTTTTGGAAATGAACCAGGGAATTTTAAGTTAAAATAGTAGAAATGTACTTAAATTTGCTATTTCCTGATAGGTTAAACAAATACTGGTTGAGAAAATAGCCCTGTTACATACATATAGTTTTTGCATTTTTATTGGACTATCAGATTTTCACTATATATGGGTCATCAAGTTTAACTTTAGACTCAAGTCTGAGGTTTTTCTGTAAACTATAAAAAAGCCCCTAGATACAGGGCATATTGAAACAACAGGACAGATAATGCTTGTATCCCAGAAAACCCTGTTTAGCTTTTTATGATACTACCCTATACACACACAGGATAGCAGAGCACATAAAAGGTAGGAGAGGATTTGGCTGCATTTAACTGGCTCGTAGTAGGTTAACAGCGGTGCACAGTGGTCGACTTTACTTATAATTTAGGTTCTAGGCACATGGATCATTGTATGATGGTACATGGGCAGATAATATGACATAAATGAACACTCCTGGCACCATAACCACTACAGCAAGTTTTCAAGTATTATATAATTATTCTTCAACACAACAAATACTAAAAACACAAAACCAATCTTGAGTTCTGTCTTAAAAGTAACATTTTACTTTTTCTTCCAGGTTAACACAGGAATACGTGCTCGTTTGTATCCCAGCTCTCCCTGTAAGTTTTTTTTTTCCCCTAATGTATCATTTTTATTGGTTTCTTTTTGTTTTTTTGTTACAAAGAAAAAGATCAGTCAAACAATTTCAAACACAAATACAAATACCAAAGAGGTACATTGTCGTATGACTTATATATAGTGATGTCCTGAACGGTTCGCCGAACGGTTTGCGAACGGTTCGCGAATGGTTCGCCACGAACAGTTTGCTGCGGACTCCAGTCAGCAGACACATTCCAGCCAATCAGCAGCAGACCCTCCCTCCCAGACCCTCCCACCTCCTGGACAGCATCCATTTTGAAGCTGCATTCTTAGTGAGCTGTCCAGGAAGTGGGAGGGTCTGGGAGGGAGGGTCTGCTGCTGATTGGCTGGAATGTGTCTGCTGACTGGAGTCCGCGGCCAACCGTCCGTGGCGAACCGTTCGCGAACCGTTCGGCCAACCATTCGGGACATCACTACTTATATAAGTTAGCGAGTCAGTCAGTGCAATATCCGGTATGAGATTGACAGTAGTGGTACAGTTACAGTCATAAATAGAAATGTTCATTACTTGTAACATGGGAGCAAAATGCAATATAGTGATTTGATACAAGATTTTTGTGAATCATTGCTCAGGGTATACATCAAGATAGCAGACAAACACTTGGCTGTGGTGTAACAGTGTGACATTAAATTTACATTCAAGACATAACTAGCAATCAGATTGAAACAGTCGTATTTCTTGGTCTGTGGATTGGTATTCGCAACACCACCAAATCATACAATGGATGCTCAAAGTTCAAAGAGAGATAATGTCAACTTAGACTTCCATTATTGGTTACATATCTGTGTTATGCCCAATTTTAGGTATAGGCATGCATGAGGTATATCTCTTAAAGGACCACTATAGTGCCCTGACGGTGCCCCCACCCTCAGGGACCACCTCCCGCCGGGCTGGATGGCAAGGAAAGGGGTTAAACTTACCTTTATTTCAGCGCCGGGCGGGGAGCTCTCCTCCTCCTCTCCGCCTCCGAATCCTCCTCTTCGGCTGAATGCACATACGCAGCAGGAGCTGCGCGCGCATTCAGCCAGTCTCATAGGAAAGCATTCATAATGCTTTCCTATGGACGCTGGCGTCTTCTCACTGTGATTTTCACTGTGAGAAGCACGCAAACGCCTCTAGCGGCTGTCAATGAGACAGCCACTAGAGGCTTTAGAGGCTGCATTAACCTATTTGTAAACATAGCAGTTTCTCTGAAACTGCTATGTTTATTAAAAAAAGGGTTAATCCTAGAAGGACCTGGCACCCAGACCACTTCATTAAGCTGAAGTGGTCTGGGTGCCTAGAGTGGTCCTTTAACAAAGTTCACACATCGTAACTCTATTTCAGAGTCACTAAATTTGTCTCAAACTAGCAGGTGCCTCTAAGAGAAGAATGAAAAGAAACGTGAAAGGAGGTTGTGAAGAAATGACTCCGTTCTTCAGGATTTCTACCTTGGTTGTACAGTTAATTCACCCAATTCAGCTGGAATTCGGCATATAGCTTTAATTTCTACCCTTCGGATGGATTCAGGCGAATTCCCCGTGTAAAATCTAGGTGGCCGCCATTTCGGCACTTTACACGTGGTCGCGGCCATTTTACGTGCGAACAGCGGTGTTTGCCCGTCAACGCGTGGAACTAAAATCGGATACGCAAACAGGCGAACACCGCTGAGACCTCCATACATCCAGAACTTCGCACGGGAAAAACCGAATCACCGGCCGTTCGGTAGTTACATGCAACTTCGTATGGGGATTTCAACGACCACGAAGATGCGAACGGATGGCAGGGCTTTCGTCTCTTTTATTCGCCTAAACGGAGACCGACCGCAGGGCCAAAACTTATGGAACTATTTTCGGCTAGATGATCCGTGCGGTCGGTCAAAACTTTAGTGCTCCATAACTCCCGAACCATTCATCCGAATGGACTGATTTTTTGACATGTTGTCCCCACAAATGAGAACTATCCAGCGGTGCCCAATTTAAAGGTGTACCCCCTGTTTTTGGGGTACATCCAGAACTGGGGTAAAATAGTGCACGTTTTAATTAAGTTAACTGTTTATCAGAGGGGAGGGAGGTAGGGGCTGTAACCTATACCTGATTGGTGATTTAATGCCTCCCCCTGGGTGTGTATTTCTTGTCTGTAACCCTAATAAAAAGCAGGCTGGAGATTCCAGACCTCAGATCTACTTGTATCCTGATTCTGGACTCTGACTGTTATTTGGGAATTCGTATGCTTTACCAAGGGGATTATCTTGGGAAGCTGTTATATTTCTTATGGACTTCATTGCTTAGAACTACCTTAGACGCTGGCATTGCAGGAGGAATTATCAAAGCGGTTCAGCTATACTTGATTTCCTTACAACTGGTGGCAAGCGGAGGGATTCGAACCCCAAATGGACATTTCAAAACAAGCAAAGGAATGAATGGCTCAGCAGTACCAGCTACTTAAAAGAACCACGCTAAAGGACTTACTGGAAGCTCGAGGCAGAGTGGCAAGTAACAAAACAAAAGCCACGTTAATTGCGGAGTTAATGCAGAGCGATAATACCAGTAATACAGAGATGGATCAAGAGGAAGAAACCGTGATGCAAAAGGACATCCGATGGACACTCAGTTTATTGGGACCCAATCCATCCTCAGAGGCGATACTGCAGGTCGTAGCACAAGCCAGACAAGCGCAAAAAGAGCGAGATTACTGGGACAGATCGTCACAGGGGGATTTACTACACTCCCCGAGAAGTATTGGGGAAATACCAAAGAAGGTAAATTATGCAGCGTTTAAAGCATTTGTTGACAATGAAATGGAAATTGACAGTTACTTGCAAGACTTTGAACGTCAGTGTGCACTGGAGGGATTAGACTCCACCAAATGGGCTGCAGTCTTCAGCAGTAAATTGTCAGGTAGAGCAGCCGAGGCGCTGCGAGCAGTACCCGAGGGGGACATACATAATTATGAGAAAATAAAAGACATTTTGTTGGCCAGATATGCGGTAACTCCGGAGGCATACCGGAAAAAGTTTAGAGACCTGAGAAAGACTGGGAGAGATTCCCATACGGAATGGGCTTTTTGCCTGCAGCGGGCAGCCCGCAATTGGATGAAGGGCTGCCAGGCAACCACCCTAGAAGAAGCTTTGCAACTAGTGATACTGGAGCAATTTTTTAATCATACTGCAGAGGACATAAAAGACTGGGTAAAAGATAGGAAACCAAAAACCGTGGAGGAGGCCGCTAGGCTAGCGGACGAGTACCAGGATAACAGGAGGAAGGAGCCAGGGGCGATCAGACCACCATTTAAGCCTCAGTACACAGCTCCAACAAACCCGGCTCCACCTAGACCTGCCATAGGTAACCCCCCACCGAACCCAGCAAACACACCTCGACCTCCTGCAGTGTGTCACTACTGCAAGCAACCAGGACATTACAAGTATCAGTGCCCTCGCTTAAACCGGGGAAGCGGGGAACGGCCAGCCCCACAACAACCCAGGGCAGCTACTCACTGTGTGCAACAGGAACACACAGGCCCTGCCCTTAACCACGAAGAACAGTGGAGTGTATTACATGAGGTCAATTCAGTACAAGCTGGGGGGGACAACCGGGACCACCACCGCCAATGGATTACCGTCGATGGCGTGGGGGCCCGGGCGCTGAGAGACTCTGGGGCTACTTTGACTGTGGTACAGCCCCACACGGTCAGAGCACAAGCTCGCACCGGACGCACAGTCGCTGTAAGGGTGGCTGGGGGCGCTATTCACAAACTGCCCACCGCTAATATGCTTGTTGATTGGGGTTCCGGGTCTAAACAACTGGAGGTGGGGATTATGCAAGAACTGCCCGCCGAGGTTTTGTTGGGAAATGATGTGGGATGCCTAACCTCTCAACTAGCCCGAGACCCCCCTGCCGAGGCCTACCCGGTTACCACCCGAGCTCAAGCCAGACTGGAAGCTCCGCTGCACTCTGAGGAAAACCAGGTAAGATTCGAAATACCTCCCTTACCCGATCCCCCCGTACCCTTCTGGGATACCCCCCAGGGGTTTGAACAGGAACAGCGTACTGACCCCACATTAGAAGGCTATAGGAAGGCCGCGGCCGCTACCCCCGAGAACAACCCGCACGAAAAATTTGAGTGGTATAAGGGGTTGCTATATAGGGTAACCGAGGGGGTGGGACAGGGGGCTACCCAGGTCATAAAAAGACAGTTAGTTGTGCCCCGTAAATTTCGGGCTGAGTTGTTAAAACTCAGTCATGACATTCCCCTAGCAGGACATTTAGGGGTCAAAAAGACCAGAGACAGGTTAACTCAAACCTTCTTCTGGCCCAGAGCCACCCAGGACCTAAAATACTATTGTAGGACATGTGATGTATGCCAAAGGGTAGGGAAAAGGGGAGACCTTCGGAAGGCTAAGCTTCACCCCCTACCCATCATCGAACAGCCCTTCCACCGAGTAGCGGTGGATTTAATAGGACCCCTCAGTCGCCCCAGCCCGTCGGGCAAAAAGTTTATCCTAACGGTGGTTGACTACGCCACTAGATACCCGGAGGCAGTCGCCCTCACCAATATAGAGGCCGAGACCGTGGCAGAGGCCCTTATTCAGATATTCACCCGAGTAGGTTTCCCGCAGGAGATACTCTCCGATCGGGGGACGCAGTTCACAGCTACCCTGACGCAGCAACTGTGGCAGAGCTGTGGAGTGCAGCCCCTGTTCAGCGCCCCGTATCATCCCCAGACTAACGGGCTCTGTGAACGTTTCAATGGCACTCTAAAACAGATGCTAAAAACTTTTACAGAGTCCCACAAGAATTGGGAAAAATTCCTTCCCCACCTTCTGTTTGCCTACCGTGAGGTGCCCCAGGCCTCCACTGGGTTTTCCCCCTTCGAACTCCTGTACGGGAGAAAAGTTCGGGGCCCACTGGAGCTCGTACGGGAACACTGGGAGGGCAATACAGATGAGGGGGGAGTCCCTATCGTCCAGTATGTCCTGGAGTTCCGGGACCGTCTGCGGGCCCTCACCGAATCAGTTCGGGAGAACCTGCAGGCGGCCCAGGAGGACCAGAAAAAGTGGTACGATAGGAGGGCCCAGGATAGAGTGCTGGACTTAGGGCAGAAGGTACTGGCTCTGAGGCCCGTTAAAAAGGACAAGCAGCCTGGCAGGGACCCTTTAAGGTAGTGGAACAGGTTAGCGAGACTACCTACATCGTGAGCAAATGCTCAGATGAAAGGCTGACCAAAGCCTTCCATGTGAACATGCTCAAACCATATTTTGAAAGAACAGAGGAGGTGGGCGCCGTGTGCGCCCTCGCCACAGAGGATAGTGAAGGGCTACCCCTTCCTGACTTACTGGATACCACCCCCTGTACTATTGA